AAATTTCGTTTTTCATTTTGTTTATTTTAATTCACTCTAAAATTCAAAATGTATCTTGCAATAAGTGCAAGAGAATTCCTATTTTATATTTTTAAGAAAAAAGTGTTTGGTTTTCAGTCTTTACTATTATTTATCTTTCGATTAAGACCAAAATGTTTAAGTTTATGAATGATTTTTCTGTTTTGTTTTAAGCTTTACCTGTAGTATTAGTTTAAAATATATTTTTTTTAGACTTAAAAGTTACTTCCTTTGTTCCTATCTATGCAGTTCTAGAATTTTGTAGTTTTATTTCTGTTAGACTGAGGCGTTGGGAAAAATTTGGTTTTTGTAAAACTTGTACCTAATTTACACCTGATTTGTGCAATTGTATCTGTAGGTATTTTTAATAAAACATATATTTTGATGTAAGGTTAGTGATTACCTACCTATTTGAGTAACGACCTACAATGAATACGCTGTGCTGTGGAAAATTGGCTGACATTTTCATTACATTCAACGGAATGGCAGCAAATATCCAGTTAAGTTCTTAAAAATTTTGTAGAGGGCGCGAGTGAACTTGGAGTGCTTCAAATTTTGGCGTTAAACGTCAATAGTTTTAATCCGTTTAAATTGAGTAGAAAGAACCCACATAACAGTGAAAGAACATTCATTTTCTCAGAATATTCCCTCAAAGTGCTTTCTGGAATGTTCTTTTAGGAATGTTTAATGGATATCCTAAGAATGTTTCGATTGAAATATTCATTTTTGAACGTTCTATTTATGTACTAGGAATGTTGCTTCTATGCACCTACCTGAAAGATCGTGCTAAGAACCTACTTTATATAACATTATTTGAATATTGTCATACGAACATTATTATAATGTACCCTAAAAAATGTTCTTTCGGCTAATATCTCTATCAAGTATTAAGAATATACCTACCAAGTTGTGCTGAAATGTTTATGTAGGTAAGTAACCATGATAAGAATATTTTCATATCGTTCACCTAATTATCTAAAGTACCTGCTCAAAAATCTTAATTGAACAATTAAACAATAATGCTCTATCTAGAACCTACTAAGAACATTATAGGTATATTCTTTTTCTTTTGCTTTGTAGGACTTCCAAGAGAGGGAGCCACACGCTATTAAAGATCTACATCTTGCCTCGCGTTTGAATCACCTTGGAACCTGTTTCTCTCAGTTGGCGTGCTTCGACGAGAGCATAACAAGCTCGAAACCGGAGCTTTGGTTAAATACTTGTGTTTTCCAGAGAAGTTTTCCAACAACTCTTTCATTGCCTTTAATATAAAAGGGCTGAAAGGAGCATTATTTGGAAGCGAAAATTAACATTCCAAGTATATCCTTAGAATCAAACAAGAATGTTATGTCTAGGATGCATATTGAGAATGTAGATATATTCTAAGAATATTTCAAGCATACTGGTATAATATTATTTTGAGAATATAACTATAATGTCATAGAAACATTCTTTGAATGTGAGAATATATATTTCGAGCATATTTCAAGAATCAAACAGGAATATTCTTTTCAGGATGTACTGAGAATCTCATAGGTATATTCTAGGAATATCCTAATGGATTTCCCAGGAAGTTCTTGGGTATTGCAAACAGTATTTCTACAATCTTTTCTCAGAACATTCTCAGGACATTCGCAATGGTTTTGGCGAACATTTTTTTTTTTTAATAATAAATTTGTTTATTGACATTCAAACATTACAATTTCAAATAATACAAATAGCAATTCTTTTAAGGTTGCCTATATGAAAACATGTAAATGGCAATAAACAGACTCACGTTTGAAGTGTTACACACTTGTTGTGAGAAGGTTGTTTGTGAAGGAATACTTCACAGTTTTATAGTCTTAATCGGTTAGAAAAGTCTTGATCGGTAAAAATGTCTTAATCGAGGATAACGTCAATTTCGAGTTTTTTAAGTCACATTCGAGAATATATTTGCCACATCATATCACTACAGAACACTTTTTTCAAGTCACTTAGATTATATTTTTAATAAGGTCATTTGCACCTTTAATCCAGTTTTTAAATTCCTTTTTAAATTTTTGAATTTTTCTTTCACCTTTCACATAATCTGGGATAATGTTGTACAATCTAGGAGCAATATAGCCAATATGTCTAGTGCCTATTGTTTTATTGGCTCTTGGAAGTTTAGACTTTTTATTAACTACATTTCTTGTTTGGTGCGGGTGACTCATGACTTCAATTTGTTCTTTATTTTTGAAAATCCTTAAAGCTACCTTTTCACACATTAACTGCCTGATATTTAAAAGTCCGCTTTCATTGAATAGCTTTTCTGTGGAATATTTTCTATCTTTGTTGAAGATTACTTTAAGGATCCATTTTTGAATTGTATTTAGTTTTGAAATATTAAAGTCATTAACGCGACCCCACCCGCAGAGGCCATATGTCAAGTGAGACTGAACAAGTGCAAAGTACAAAGTTTTGAGATCAGACATCTTAAAATATTTTCTGAAACATTGAAATCTAGACACCAAATACCTGAGCTTTTTTACAAGGTTATTTACATGCAAATCCCACCTTAAGTGTTGGTCTATAGTAATTCCCAGATATTTAACCGATTCCACTTGTTTTATACTTCTAGAACCCGCAATAATTAAGCTTCCACTGATAGGCAACCCTGTTTTATAAGACGAAAACGGCAAATAATATGTCTTATCTATATTTACTGTAAGAGAATTATGATTGAACCAGTTTTGTATTTGTTTGAAATCTTCTTCAGCTATTTGCTTTACTTCCGGCCAAGTGTCCGCACTGAAAAATCCGGCTGTATCATCTGCAAAACTTGCCAAATCGCCTCTGGTTTTTACGGAAAATAGGTCATTGATGTAAACGATGAATAATAATGGACCGAGGACCGTTCCTTGTGGGACGCCATACTTTACAGTTTTCATTGAGCTAAAAGTATCTTCAATTTGCACTGTTTGATTTCTATCCTTTAGGTAACTCATAAGCAGCTCAAGGCACGGTCCTCTAAGTCCAATCCGTTCCAGTTTCCTGACAAGCCTTGCATGATCCACCGTATCAAACGCTTTGGCAAGATCGACGAAAATGCAAAGTGAAGGTTTTTTGTTGTCTAATGAATCATTAATTTTTTTAGTTAAATTCACTATTGCATCCTCAGTCGATCTGCCAGCTCTGAAACCAAACTGTTTTTCCGAGAGCAGTTTATGTTTTTCAAGAAAACCAATAAGTCGTTCCTTTATTGCCATTTCGAAGACCTTTGCAACAGATGAAATGAGAGTTATAGGTCTATAATTTATGATATGCTTTTTGTCCCCTCCTTTATATATTGGTTTAATAATCCCAATTTTTAAGATTTTAGGAAAATATCCAGTTGCAAAGCATTCGTTTATTAAGAAGGACAGATGTGGCGATATTACTTGTGATATATTTTTTAAAGATTCCGCTCTAATTTGGTCATGTCCTGGAGTTTTTTTTTGATTTTAGTTTTTTTATAAGGTTTTGAATTTCTGTGGGTGTGGTTGGGGTTAAAAAAATTGAATTTAAAGTCTTGGGTTGTTCCTCTGGTGTCATATGTGGGGGTTTTATTTTTTTTGCATAGATTTCTCCAAGTTCAGAGTAGTGTTTATTGAAAGCTTCTACAATGTCTGTTGTATTTGTGTATGTTGTGTTATTATTTACTATTATTTGTTTCATATCTAGATCTGTTTTTTTGTTGTTATTTGTTATGTTGTTCGTCATTTTCCATAGCCTTTGAGAGGAATTTGTGGCGTTTTTCACCTGTTTTTCGTAATACCGCTTTTTAGCGTTGTTTATTTCGTTTGTTAAATTATTTTTATATTTTTTATAATTGTTATGCAGTTCTTTGTTCTCCGGCTGTAACTTTACTTGTGTGTACATTTTATTTTTTTGGGAGACAGCATTTATCAATGTCTTTGTCATCCAGTTTTCAGATTTTATTTTAGAAGTAACTGTTTTTGTGCAAGCCTCAGTTGTTGATTTAATTTTGTCGATCGGAATTTCTGCCGCGCTCTCTAAATTCTGGGTTCTATAAAAATTGTTCCACGTTTCAGGAGCTTGCAATTTGTTAATCACTTCCTTGTAATTTGTGTAAATTTTTTTAAAAGTCTTTTGTAAAGAACGTTTTTGCCTTTTTTCAGATTCTATAAAAGCCATAATTGGAAAATGGTCTGTTAAATTGTGTTCGAAAATGATGGACTCTATTTTTAGCTGTTTCTTGTTTGATCTTAGAAATATATGATCCAGGCAAGAACACTGATCACCTCTGACCCTTGTTATTTTATTTATGTATGGCAGGAACCCGTTGGCATACATACAATTAAGGTATTCATCTGAGACATTGGTTTGCTTCAAAATGTCAACATTGAAGTCTCCAATAATAATTTGACAAGTTTTTATTGGTTTTTCTTGTAGGTAATCATCCAGACTCTCTATGAAATTTAAGCAGTTAATCTCATGAGATCTATACAGTGCAGTTAAATCAAATTCAGTTTGATTTATGCTAAAGTTCAGTTCAATGCCCAGTGTAAGCCCAATATTGCATATTCTAGAAGCATAACGAATATCTGACCTGATAAAAACTACTGTACCATCGTTTCTATTTAACCTACTATCAATGTAAATAAAATCGTAATCTGGAATGTGAAATTGACTTGGATCATAAATTATAAATGTTTCAGTTAGCACAATAACGTCAAACTGTTCATCTAATCCTTTGATAAATATAAGAAGTTCGTCTAAATTTTTTGCAATGCTACAAACATTAATATGGAATAGTTTTAGTGAATGTTTAAACTTTTTAGCTTTTTTTTGATAATCTTTAACGTTGTTAATTGTCAAGCATTCATGATTTGTAGGAGTAAATTTCTTTATATATTCATTCATGCTTTATTTAGAAACGTTGCCACAAACACTATATATAATATTATATGAATATGAATGTCAATAAGTAGCATACATACCAAATTTTACTAAATTACTTTTGTCGAGTTGAGCGACTAGATGATCGAGTTGCCTTCGTAGGAGGAGTATCTACCGCAGCAGGATTTCTGGTTATTACTTTTCTTCTTGGGTCTTGTTTGTCTCCTTTTTTATCGTCTGTTCCTGTTTTTGTATTTTCTTGCAGATTTGCTGGTTTATGCTCTTCAATTGGTGTCGCGGCTACTTGTTCAGGGGTATCGTCTACTGCTACGAAGAAGTCGTTCGAATCATCTTCCGTCAGGGATAACGCAGATAAACCTGGGACGCTTACAGAGCGCCTCGGAGGCGGCCCATAAAAAACATCTTCGTCTAAATCACCAGATGTCGATTTGAAAATATCACTTTGTAACAGATCTTCGTATGTGTAAATATCGTTTCCCACATGTAAATTGTTTTTTTTAATGAAGGCCGTAAGTCCAAGTTTTCTAGCTTCTTTAAGGTTACTATATAGAACTTTATTAATCTCTCTTTCAGCCTTAGTTAGATCGTTCGATAAAAAGACAGATTTTCCTTTTAGTTTGCGGGCGTTTTTAAGCAAGATGTCCTTTTTAATGTAAGTTGTTAATTCAACTAAAAGTGGTTTTTTTTTCGATTTCTGGTCTGCCCAAATAGTACGTATTATTTATTTCATTAGCATTAAGGTCTACTTCCAACAGGTTTTTAAGTTTATCCACTACCCATCTCACTAAGTTTTCTCCTTTCAACTCAGTTTTATTTGGAAGCCCATATATGATAAGATTATTTTTCCTAGCCTTATTTTCTAAAACATTTATTTTTAATTCTAAATCTTGATTTTTGTCGAGAGTTTTTATTTTGTGTTTTAAAACATGATTTTCCTTAATTAAATCATCGTTCACTTTTTCTATTTTACTGCTGAGATCATTGCTGCTAGCAATAATTAACTTTTTAATCTCTTCTAACTGATCCTTATTGCTTAAATCTCCTGTTGTATTTGGCATATTCCTTTTTACTTAGAAAATTAAAATTAAAATTTTAACGTGTATGTTCACCTCAAATATCTTTGGTTCACCTATACGCTTTTTTGTTTGCCGATCGGAATGTCTGGTTATTTCAATTTAGCAACAATGATTCAATTTAGGTACTTATAGAAGGCCAAAGTGCAAAAAAAAGTATGTGTACATACCAAGTGAATGTTGTTGATAACTTTTGCCACTTTTCGTAATTTAATTCAACGTAAAACTAGTAAAATTTAACATTTTTCACGAGACTTCTTTTAACAGGTTACTTGTTCTAAAGGCGACCACACTATTCTAGGCACATTCCTCCAAAAAAAAAAAAAAGAACATTCTTAATACATTCTAAGAATACAATTTTGTTATGTGGGAAAGATGACTGCAATATGAACAATGAACAATGAATAAGTTAAAATATCTTCCAACGCATTCAGTGGCCCTAGAGAATATTTTTAAAAGTGTCAGCGTCAGCTTGTCTTGGAACCACACATCAGACTTAACTTTTGGGGTTAAAATTACAATCAATTATTTACGCGCTAAAATTTAAATAGTTCCAAGTACAGAAGCGCCCTCTTCAACTCAACTGTCAATGACATTGAATTTCACTTGACTTAGGGCTGGTATTATAAAACACTGAACCGATGGTAGTTTCAACCTTCGGTTGAATCCTATCAATTTGCATGGAATCAACCGAAGGTTGAAACTCAATCATCGGTTCAGTGTTTTATAATACCGGCCATTAGAAAATTACCTGAACAAATGATGCTGACAGTGAATTTGTTGCGGAAAAAAATACCATCATTTTTAACTAAATATCGATATCAAATAAGTACGTTAAAATGCTCAAAAAGAGGCGTGGCACCAAAAAAAATTAGCCTACGGCGGTTGCCTGCGGCGCTAATGGAAATGGTCTTATTATAGTACTGCCCCCCCCCCTGAGAAACCTCGTAACGGCGCCCATGTCTGAAATGGTCTCCAAAGCGCAATTCTAATGTCTGACATAGATGCTGGTAATTCTGTTGGTAGATTGAAGGAATGGACTGAAGAAGATTTTAGGCAGGTCCTCGTAGCGCCACTATCAGTGCTGTTGCTTTTTTTTGTTCTGGGTGGAATAATGTTGGTTTATCGGAACTTTCATTAATCTTTCCTATGATTTTTTCTTTCTGATTTATAAGTTTTTGATTGATGGTTGAATATAAGAGTTTAGACTTATTTTTATGTTCTGTGACATAATCTGTCAATAAAACTTAATCTAATTTTAGGTCAAATGGATCGTTTGGGCTAATGTGTCCTGAAATGACATCTATTGGCTTGAATTTAGTCACCGAATGAATGGTGTGATTATATGCTAGGATTGCATATTTCATTTTTTGGCTGATAGGTGTCTTCAGGAAGCCACGATTATTTAGAATTCTTACGTGTTCGGATAAAGTGGAGTGTACCCTCTCGATAACACCGTTAGACTGGGGATGCTCGGGCGAGCAAAAATGAATTTTTATTTTATGAAGTTGTAATAGTTCTGTGACCACTGTATTTTTAAATTCAGTTCCGTTGTCTAAAATGATTTTGGATGGAACACTGTGATGTGAAAAGAACGATATTGAATTATCGCTAATTTCGGTGGCTGACAATGAATTTAGGGCGTAAGCTTATGCGTACTTGGAAAAACTGTCAATGATTGTGAGAAATTTAACTTTATCTAATGTATATGTGTCAAGGTGAATAGTTTCAAAAGGTTTGGTTGCCGTGGGTGTAATATTCATTTCCATGTTTTATGGGTGTCGTTCGTATTTACTTCGTTGGCATATTTCGCATTCATTTATGTACGATTGAATAGACTCTTTAAGATTTGGCCAGTAATACTTTTCTTTAATACGCATTTCGGTTTCCTCGATTCCGCGATGGTTCGTCTTACTCTCATGGTATTTCTGTATTATTTCTGGTATACTTTGTCTACTATTTCGATTAATTTTTTCAAACATCTTTTAATTTTAATCGAGGGCCATTTGAAATTTTTCCTAACCACTTCGCAGAATGGTTCATATGTATCCGGGTTCTCGAAATAAGCATAGTATAATTTACCTGGCATAACGTTTTCTTTTATAAAATTAATTGTATCATTTTCAAAATCATTTTCTGATATTTGAACTAAAAATTCTCTTTCTTCTTTCTTCTTTTCAAATAAAATTAGTCTTTTTGTTTTGGCAGGTGAGTGCCTGACCTTTGTGACGATTATTTGATTTGCTCCATAGTTAACAGCCGATTCTTTAATTGGAATTCCAACAATAGGGTCTTGTTCAGCATTAGTATGGATAGTTTCGTTATCGTCTTCAGCTGTTGCTTCGAGGTCAGGTTGCGCCATAGTTGATATTTGGTCTAGGTTCTCAATCTCTTTGCTGGTCGTTGGATTATTTTCCATTCTAGCTTCTTCCTCTAATTCTTTATTGAATTCTTCAATATATGATACTAGATTCGATATATTGTCGGTTTCTTTAGTGTGTAATTCAATACAGCTTAGGGCGTCTGCATTTGTATTGAGTTTACCTTTTTTATAAATAATTTGGTAATCAAACTCTTGTAGTTTGATTCGCCAACGTACCATTTTCGATGTGGGGTCTTTATAGTTGAAAAGCCATTGCAAGGGCTTATGGTCCGTTATAATATTGAATTTTTGTCCAAAAAGGTAAGGTCGGAAGTACTTCGTCGCCCAGATAAGACACAGGCACTCCTTTTCAATAGTGGAATAATTTTGTTCTGAATCATTCAAGGTGCGAGATGCGTAGGCTATGGGCAAATCTTGTCCAATGGGCCCTCGTGATAACACAGCACCTAGGGCTACGTTACTAGCATCACATGTTAGATTAAATGTCTTCGAAAAGTCTGGGTATTGTAGTATAGGTTCATTTACAAGTAATTTTTTGCAATTTTCAAAACATTCGATAAAATCTTGGTTGTGTTCAATCTTTGCACCTTTCTTCATGCATTTCGCGAGGGGTTTTGTGATTTTTGCAAAATTATCTATAAAACGTCTTTAATATCCGAGTAGTCCAAGAAAGCCTTTGATTTGTTTTGTTGTTTTTGGAATTGGGTAATTTTCAATGGCTTTGATTTTCTCTGGATTTGGTCGTACTCCTTCTGGTGTCACTATATGGCCTAAATATGCTACTTCTCGTCTGAGGAATTCACTTTTATCCAATTGAATTTTGAAATTGGTTTCACGTAGTCTTTGGAAAACCAATTTGAGTCGTTCTAAGTGCTCTTGTAGTGACGTGGAAAATATAATAATGTCGTCGAGGTATACAAGACATTTTTCGTTCTGGATTCCTCGTAATATACTGTCCATGGTCCTTTGGAACGTTGCGGGGGCGTTCTTCAGTCCAAACGGCATACGAAGAAATTCGTAATGGCCATTCTCCGTATTGAATGCGGTTTTCTGTATGTCGTTCTTATTCATCTGTATTTGATGGAATCCGTTGGCCAAGTCCAATGTAGTAAAATATTGACATTTTTCTAATTTGTCTAATAAGTCGGTTATATTCGGTAGGGGGTATCTGTCTGTTATAGTTTTTGCATTAACGCCACGAAAATCTACTACTACTCTCCACTTCTGCTTTCCAGAAGCGTCCGCTTTCTTTGGGACCACCCAAATTGGCAATGACCAGGGAGAGTTCCTTGGGCGAATGATTTTTTGGTCTAACATTTTTTTCATCTGTGATTCGACTTCCTTTTTATGTATGAAAGGGTATCTATAGGTTTTACTATATACCTACCGGTTGTTCATCAGTGATTTTAATTGAATGTCTTATTTCACTTGTAAATATCAGTGGCATGTTTTCTTGATAAAATATATCTGAGTATTCTTCACAAAATTTGATGATTTTCGATTTTTCTTCTGCATTCAGATGATCGGTGCGAATTTGAGAACAGTCAAAATTGGGTTTGTAATCAAGTGAGTCTTCGAAATTATTTATATTTATTTTTTCCATAATTCTTCTCGATTAAATGGTTCTACCACAGATCACCTAATACAGATGCGTAAGTACGTATACTTGCTGTCGACGATATTCTGTGACGAAGCCGGGCCGCCAGCGGCCCCACGCATAGATAAAGATCGCCCGCGTCAGGATAATTAACGTGGCCGAGTGCGTGAGCATGTTCCAGCCTGTGTGTTTACATATTTTTGCGGGTAGAAAAAAATATTTTTGCGGGTAGAAAAAAATATTTTTTCTCCAAACGTCAAAAATACGTCACTTTGATAACCCCTGTCAAGATGTCAGAAATTTAATTTCTATGCTGCTAGGTAAATCCAGCGGGTTAACACCTGTCGAGGTGGTAGAAGTTTAATTTCTATGCTGCTTGGCAACCCCAACGACAGCAAAAGTACTTTTAGTGCCGCTCGTACTTTTACTGCCGCTCAACCATCCACTTGCCCCCGAGCTTACCCCAAGTTTTGAGAAAAAATAGCGTGTTGCATACGGAGTAGAAGCACTTTTTTGTGCTTCAGCAGTATTGCGAGCCGAACGTAGTGAGCTTCAGCACAAAAAAGTAAAGCTTCTACTCCTAATAAAATAATATACTATTTTTGCTGTTTGTGAACCAATTAAAGAAATAATATTAAATTATTGAGCTTCCGCATTTATATAATAAATATGTTCAAAATACATTGATGTGGCATTGGTGCGCCCAGCCTATGTCTATCAAATTAATCATGAACCACGAATTCGCCGCTCTTTCGCATCTGTATGTAAGTAATCTGTGGTTCAACCTTAAATGGTTGGGAAATATCAAGGGTTATTGGTTTGCAAGTGTTATTTAAAATGCTAGTAATAGCATAACCATTTTTTGCGATACTCAGCGAGTTTGGAATTTCGCAGTTATGTATCCTCTGGTAGGGTATAATATCCTCGCCGTCTTGTATATCAGTTTTAATTTTCACAAGTTGTTCAACTCGAGGAGAAACAGTAACATTATATATTGATGTGTCA